TTGAGTTGTAATACCATTACAGTTATTGATGAAATGGTCTTTATTAACTTCCAGAGATTAGAAGCCCAGGGATTAATTTTGCAATTCTTAAAGTGCAGAAGAGACCAAACTTCATGGAGTATGAAGTAAGCGGAAATAAATAATGTAGCAATTGAATGTGCTGTAGTGTGTTCCAAATTCTTATACAAACCCTGTGGGTGAAAACAATATGTGTGGTACGCTGTATAAATAAAAATATCACTGTATAAATAAAATATATGATGGAACTCAAGTAATTTTTTGAGACACTACACTTTTAATAATGTGGTGAATGCAATAACATTAACACCTTTTTTCTGAGACAGAAAAAGTTTGCTCACTTGCTTGTTCTTTATTCTGTAGTAGGTATTAAAGGTAATAGATTAGCATAATGAAATACAATTAATTTACCTAAACCAAGGTGTTCCATGAAAAATTTCTGGTTTTTTGGATACTTATGTAACTGTGAATGGAACCTGTATCTGTGTTTCAGAGTGTGTTTGCCCAGTGATATGCTGTTCCCCACTGTACCCAAACTGATGAAGAGTAGACTCTGATGTATATTAAAAATAAGACAGTTCAATACAATTGTTTTAGAAAGGTATAGTAATGATAGTGTAATTGAAAAGGGCATGAGGTTAAGTTTGTATTAGCCTGCTTTTCTGTTTCCCTGCAGCACTAAAAATTTCACCAAGTCTCACAACAGGTAATGTTTTAAAGTGTGTTTTTCACTTGAGCTTTAGACTTCAAGGTTCATGCTTTTTCAGATTTTTCTTAGTGATTGTAAAAACTAAAACAAAAACCCTTAAAAAAAAATTTAAATTAATGCTTACACCAAGAGCCAAGAGTCCTCAAGAAATACTATGACAATGTGACTTTTAAGATAAACATCAGGGAGCGAGCAGTATCGCGTGTAAGGTATTTTTTATAGTTAACAGATGAACTAATATATTTCCATTATCAATCAGTTTATTTTTTAACATTCACAGTAACCACAAAGCATCATACGCTGTAAAGTGGTATAAATTCCAGACAGTCTTTAGTAATAGAAAGTTAGCAGATTACTTCTAGTAGAGGTATAAAACAGGAAAACTAGATTGGGCATACATCTCTAACCTTCTTCCTTTTCCCTTCCTTCTGTCAGAGTCAGGAAAATATCCTTTATTGTTTTTATAAAGTCCTATTTAGTAGTAACATGTTAGTAAAAATTATTACTATGTTCAAAAATCAAGATGAGTGCTCAGCAAAAAAGCTGGGTTTATGGCAGTATTGCTTCTTAAAAATGTTACACGTATGCAGCCAGAAAGATTTAAATATATCCTAAGTGCAGTAATATAGCTGAAAATAGTGCTCAGGTGGCAGGTATGAATGACATGAAGATAATTTGCACAGATTTTGAGAAGTGATATTGCAGGAGATATTGGGGGCTCTAACATTTTAAGAACTTATAACTGGATGCATAGAGGGAGAGAGGAACAATAGTTCAGCTTGAGTAGAAGGAGATAGGTCGAGTAGAAAACAGGCTTGTCTGTTTTCATTACGGAGCTTGTACACGGTTTCAGCTGAGATTAACCCAGAAATAAGGCTGAATGGGAAAAGAGGAGGAGATCAGAAACATACCTCATATTTCACCTCCCTGAGCACAAAACCAAACCCCTGGCTCTGTTGAGGCAGCTCGTCTGAAGGGTATGCTGGAGAGGGAGGAGAACCAGAAGCAAGAATATGGTAACCAAGAAGAAGGGAAGATACCAAAAAAAAGAGTATGGTTGATTAATGTCTGAAGTATTGATGGGAGGACATTAGAGTACTCTCTCTAAACTTCAGCTATTAGCAGGTTGGTTGACACTTTGGGAAGGTGTCCTCTGTGGTTGGTATGTGAGCTGGCTGAACAGGGTCTAAATCAGCTGGAGAGAGGACACCTCGTTTGCCATCTCAGAGATGGAAAAGGGTATGGGCAGTTGAATCAACAGTGGATTTTTGCTACAGACAAGGATTCTTGGATTTTGATCGGCAAGCTGGAGAGTAGGAAAAGGGAGTCAATGAGAACAGGTACATGATGAAATCAGATGAAATGGGGTCACTGGGAGAAAAAAAAGGAGGCTTAGAGTAAAAGAGCAGAGGTTTGAGGATTTTCTTAGTGTAGACATAGACTACTACAGGCATCGGAATAGAGGAAGGAGCAAATAGTTTCAGAAAGCATGGAGACCAAAATGGAGAGAGTTTGGTTTTGTGGGGGTTTTTGTTATTTTTTTTAATTAAAAGGTCCCCTACAATGTAGTTGTTACTAGCTACATGAAATTGTAGTCTTTTGAATATAAAAATTGCATATGCTACAAATATTAAATTTTCCAAATCTATAGAAAAGAAGTTAAAAGCTAAATGATAAATCTGAAGAATAATGCATTTTCTGCATTATTTAAGAAATGAACAGAACAGCCTTTTCTGCATTGATTATTATTTTTCCAAAGTACTTTTGTGACATTTGTGGCTTACTGTTTTTCACTGACTACTTCTAGTATAGTCCAAAATTATTTTTCAGTCTGGCAAAGTTTTGGCATAGTAAAGGAAAAGTGTGACCAATTTTGTGGGGGTGTTTTCTCAGCATTCTTGGCAGGAGAGAAGCCTGTATTCTTAGTGGTGTTTTGGGCAATTGGTCAGTAATGTTTTCATGTATCTGTCAGAAACTGATCTGAGAAGGTGTAGTCTTGTGGCCAATCCAAACAGATAACAATATGAGCAACAGTTTTCTGGCAGTGCTATTCAAATCTAGTTAAGTTTCAGTGATGCGAAGTCTGTTATAATATTACTTGGACAGGCCTTTACATCCTTTTGGGTGTAAGCTTGTAGGAGAATGCTTACAGTATCATCCAAGTTGAGTGAAATACACAGCAGTCATATAACTCTCTTTTTAGGTATTGTAATTAACCCTACAATATTTAGGGTGGGTCCAAATTTTAAATATAGCATCTGAAATATTTTAAAATAATGAAGTATCATTTTTTTAGATAAAATATTGCTTTGAGGAGTAACTGCTGGGTACATACCTCCAATATAATTGTTAAAATAAATAACATTGCTAAAAGGAAACCATATAAGTCTTTAATGTGATCTGACTATTTTGCCTTGTATGCTTATTAAGCATTGATTTTTCTTAAAATGACCTTTCACAAATGTGGTATACAATCAACCACCAATGTTAAAAATGCTATTAAGATTAAAATACAGCTGGAAAAGCTAAGGTTTCAGAAAAATGGACTTGAAAACAAATAATACATTTAAATAGCTCTTACAGTACAACATGACGCATGCTGACAGAACACCGAATTTCGTGCCTTCCAAATAAAGGTATAATTACTCATTACCTAATTAGCTATTTAGCATACAATGACTAAATGCAACAACCAAAAATATTTTACTTGTTTGCACCTTAGAATTTTGTCATCTTCAGTTGTGGAGATGAGGGGATCGCTAAGAGATAAACCTTTACAGATTGCAACTGCGCTTCAGCCATAACTTCAGCAAGTTGCAAGCTAGTCCTGTCTTGAATGCAGAGGTGACTTCATGTGCTTACTCATATGGTGGAACATTTGTGTACAGACTTCATACTTGTGGCTGCAGGTACATTCCTCTGTATATGGAAAAATACCTGTGAAAAAACTTAAGGTCAAAGCTTAATATTTTCCTCTTAAGTACATTCTCTTGTCATACAGGGGATTTATCCAGGTAATACCCATCAGTGCAAATGACAGATACATACATCAGTGAGCAAATAGACTCCAGTAGAAGTGGTCTTTTTAAATTTTGGATTTTATAAAGCACACGTGATAGTATTCTATTCATTCCTTTCCAAAATTAATTATAAACTAAACCAAAGGGATTCAGTTAATCAGAAATCTGCTCAAATACTTGTAGAAGAGGTGTTCTAAGTCTTAAAATCTACTGTACATTTCAGTGCCCCAACTGATGTTAGTATAAAGGGCAGAAGTTAATGCAACAGAATAAGGGATATCTTGATTTATAACACAGTTAACAGCTGATAGGTCTGATGATATTGCAACTTTCCTGTTGGTCCATCACTTATACTGAGCAATTTAAAATATCAAAAAGAGATATTATTGGAAATGAATTAAAGCTACAGGAAGATGGAGCTTTGAGGGCTCCTTTTCGGTAGACATTTGCACCAAAAAGAAGTTGGAATGCTGTGTTCAGAACCTGTAGTACAAATGGTAAAGAAAACGTGTTACCATTTTAATTATTATTGCCTTTTTAACGTGGGATTTCTTGCAGCCATGTCCTCAAATAACCATTTCTTAACTAAAATGACACCATTTTGTAGCCAGTGACCCATGACTTTACATATTTGGAAGGGCTATTGATTCACTGAACTGGAAGAAATTAAAGATGTTGAGGCGTATTTTCAAAAGTAGAATTACATGTATTATAAATTATATTTGATCATGTATATCCTATTTACCATTTTTAAAAAAAGCTAGGTACATGTAATACAGCATTCAATTTATCTGTAATAGCCTTAAATAAACATTGGTGGTTGGTGGTATTGTTTAAATTGGCTATGTGTAATATTATGAGAGCTGCTAGCACCTACAGCACCTCTTCTTGTTCTTGTGTTGTGGTCCTCTGCATGTACCTATTTCTGTTTGTGGTAGTCATTCTCTCTAGGTAAATTGTCCATAAGACCAATGATTCCATCAGCAAATTATCCAGAAAATGCCGTCGGTGCGCATGGTGACATTTGTGCCACTGGTGGTTTTGTTGCCATTTCAGTGGTCTAATTAAATTGGCAGTTTTCTCTCGTGCCCAGCATTGTTGTCTCCCTTCCTTTGGCACCTTAGCTCAGACCTTCTCCTTTTCTCTGTCCTTTTAACTGAATATCAAATGCATTATTGATTGCTCCTCTTCCACCCTCCTCACTTCCACTCCCCTCAACTTTTTTTATTTATTTATTTTTTTTTGATTGGCAGTATCATCCAGACAAACAGAAGGCAGATGTGCCAGCAGGAGAAGTAGAGGAGCGCGTGCAGAGGTTCATCGAAATTGATCAAGCGTGGAAAATTCTAGGGAACGAAGAGACAAAAAAAGAGTATGACCTGCAGCAGCGTGGTAGGTTCCTGCCAAGGAGTGCTGTAGTGGCAGCAGCTCTGTAAATAAGCAGGATCTGGGAGTGGTAGTTAGATGGTATTTTAAAATGCTGTTTATTGCTGAACCAAATGTTTCTTTCAGTCTTGTCCTACTTTCAAATGTGGATCCATTATTTATAGCTTTTGCTACACATACATTAGCTAGTGAAAACATTGAATTACTTCCAACAAAACATTAGGTGGCATTATTCCTAATAATTTGAATGAATATGAAATTTATACTAATTATAGACCTTAGCCCTTTTTATCTTAAGGCAGCTTCATTAAGCATTCTTAATTTCAAGTCTTATACTACATTTTGTTGCAGTATCTTAGATATAGGTATTAATCCATTTATACCTAGTGTTCAATGTGTATGGGCTTATAAGCACTTCAGAATCATTAAGACACATTCTTTTTGCTTGTGTGTGTTATGGTAGCTTTCATAATTCAGCTGTAGTCTAAACTAGTCTTTTTAAAGCAGGTTTATAAATAATATTCCGATATAACACATTAACTAGGCAGCTCTAGCATGCATTTCTTTTTATACCTCTCAGAAAATAGCTTCTTAAAACAGTGACAGGCTGTTGTGAGAAAGAAAGGGGGGAAATGTAGGTCAGGTCTGTCACACATGGGCTACCATTACATGAAGTGATAGGCTGTCTTTCTGCTCTGGCCTCAGGATAGGAGTCCCTCAGCCTTCCATTAGAACCTTCAATAAATGTATATCCACCCTACATGTTAATGGGGGGAGTCAATAATAGTGTATTGCCTGTGGGGAAAACACTCAGTCGCACTCTGCAGTAACACACTCTGGTCCAGCATTGATGTGTAGCCACCACCACTTTTGAATGTGTCTGATAAAAGCCCACTGTCTCTGCAGCTTGTTATTGAATTCTCTTCCATTGTACATTGGCACACCATCAGACCTTTCTCTCTTGTGCTGATTTTTAACTCCCCTGCCACTGCAGATACCAGAACTTTGAGAGACAAAGGCTTAGTCATTCTGGCAGATATGCATCACTGCAGGATAAAAAGAGTGATATATAATTGTATATACCCAGTATGAATTCTCTAGTTAAATAATCTTGTATTTCAGACTTTGTGTGGGTTTGGGGAAAGAGGGTAGAGGGGTGAAAACAGCATTGTTGAATAAATATTTTAAAAGAATGAAGAAAAAATTGATCTTGTGCTAATTTGTTATGTAAACAGTATTAAGATCAAACTTAAATAAATTTTTCATCTCAAACTTATTTTTTAAATGCCTGAACGTGATGCCAGAACAGGAATTTCTGCTATCCAGTGCTCTCATCCTGTTGTACTCTTAGCATTGTAGTGTTGGCTGTGTCTTCCATTTTCACAAATTGTATATGTACAGGAAAAAAGAAATATTAGAGATTAAGTTAGAAGTCTTTTGTGTATCTAGTGAGTTTTACCTAAAGCTTAAATATAGGTTATGAAGTTCCATTTTGCTTGGGTCAGGTTAATCCACTGAAGTTGTGAACTACATCAAGATTTAATAAGTTACTTTGTTTTCCCATGGAATTTAAGGACATCGCTATAAATTAGTTTTGACAAAACTTACTCTACAGTATTTTAAAGGTTATCTGTATTTCCTGAGATTCTTCTGCATCCAGATGAGTCCTTTGAAAAGCCATCTCAAGATTCTGTAAAAAAGATGTAGTAAATAAAGAAAACAAATTGTACATTTATTCACAAAGGCATTTGGTAATGGTATGGTAATGGGATAGATATGTTTTGATATAGAGGGTGCCATTCACAGAGGACCCACTGTTTCAAACTAAGCTGCATGTAACATACGTGTGCGGTGTTGCTGCATTCTTTGCAGCATGTTCCCTGGCAGCAAAATGATGGTGAAATAAATTCTAGTTCTTTGAATGCCTGTCAAGCTGCTTCTGAAGTCATGATTCTAGACAAATTCGTAGACACTGCTGTAAAAGCTCATAGAAACAAAGGAATTGAGACAGCAGCTAAGGGGAATAGCGATGAGAGAGATAATACAGCAAGTTAGTAAGACTGCAAAGCCTAGGAAGCAGAACCTGAAGGATGCCAGTGTGCACGTGTGTGTGGCTGCCAGTCAGCAGGCAGTCAGTCCTCTGCACTGTAGTCTTTTTCCCATTTCGCAGATTGTGTATTTGTATGTACCTTCTAGGGTTATACTAACTAAATCTTAATTACTTGGCTCAGAAATTCAGTGGCCAGACAAGTTCTAAGAAGCTGAAAGTCCATGGGGCTCTGTGGTTTTAATTTTCTTTTTGTTTGGATTGTTGAGAATAACAAGTGAATGTGCTTTCATATCTTAATACTGCTTTGCTTTGAAGGTATCACAATGATCTCCTACTAATTTTTTTGTGCCTTCAGGCCATAGTATTAAAGAGGAGACGACAAACCTCAAACCGTTAAAGGTTTTGCTCAAATACTTATCCAAGCCATTCTGGTCTGGGAATCTTACAAGAACTGCCCTTTTGTATGTTTTGTGAAAATTTTTCCAATTCATTGTTTTGTCATATCTTTAATGACATATAAGAATCCCCTTTTATAATTGTGAATCTTTTGCTTCTAATCCCTGTGAAAAATTTGGGGGATGGAAAAAAGCTGCATAACAATTTACCTATTAAGAATGGACTTTTTTTTCCTCAACAGATTTTCTTCTTGGAGATTTTTCCATTCTTTGTTCAGTATCCCATTCAGAAAAGATGAATATGCAGTTAAAATCAAGTATGACAGTAACAATTACCAAAAGTTTTTCAGTGAGTTTAGCTTGGAAAAAACCTGGTTTAAGGTTTTCATATTAGAAGAACCCTGGAAGTTCATGCTTCTGTGTCACAGTTTGGAAGAATAAAAAACTTTTCACAGAATCAGAGAATCATATAGGTTGGAAGGGACCTTCACAGGTCTAGATCAATCTCCTGCTCAAAGCAAGTCCACATAGGTCAGTTACTCAGACTTTCTCCAGCCTAGTTTTTAATATCTCCAAGGATGGAGATGCTAGAGCTGCTCTGGGCAGCCTGTTCCTGTGTTTGAACACCCTCAAAACCAAATAAACCAAAAAACCAAACCCCAACCAAACAAAACATGTTTTCCTTCTATCGAGTTGGATATATGGACTCTTTTGGCAACTTTTGCCTTTCACTTTTCATCCTTCCACTGCACACCTCTGAGAAGTCTTCTCTACACCCTCCTATTAGGTAGCTGTAGCCAGTGAGATGCCTGCATTCTTTTGGCCTCTCCTTGTATGATATGTCCCAAGCCCTAACCATGCTGGCAGTCCACTGGACTTGCTCCTGTAGGTCAGGGCTTTGTACTGGGGAGACCAAAACTGGACACAGGACTTCAGATGCAATCTCGTTAAGTGCTGAGTAGAGAGGAAAGAAATCACTTCCTTGACCTGCGGGCTACATTCTTGCTAAGAGAGCCCAGTATGGGGTTGGCCTTTGCCACACGAGTGCCCTGCTGGCTCGTGTTGAACCTGTTGTCCTCGAGGACCTTCACATCCTTTTCTGGAAAACTGCTTTCCAGCTAGTTGTCTCCCAGCCTGTACTGGTGTATTCCATCCCAAAAGCAGGACTTAATCTTTGTTGAACCCTTTGATGTCTCTGTCAGTCCATTTCTATATCCTATCAAAGAGCCCTTTGAGTAGCAGCCCTGCAAATTTTATGGATTTTTGTTGACTTAAATGCAAAGGAACTGTGTATCTAAACAATCATGTAATTAAGATAATTAATTTTACTAATTCATTTTAAATTTTAATTATTAATGATTGAAAAATTAACAGAAAGGTCACAGTTAAAATTAAATCAATAAACTGGTGACTTTGATTAATTCCTGACACTAAATGTAGCAAATAATTCAAACCTAGTAATGGGATTGACACTAAAACCAATTGCTTTGAATATATTTTTAGGGCAGAGGGTGGAGAAATTTAAGAATCTAGGTTTTTTTCCATGTATGGCTCCAGTGAGGTTCTATCCAGGATAATATGTTTTTATGTGATGATGGACACAGGTGTCCTTAAAGCCCAAGTCTTTATAGGGTGGGGGATGTAATCACCAGTAGGCGTTTTCACATCTTGGCACATACCTCCTTTTGATTTTCAGTTTTTAAATTACATTTTTAGAAAAATATTGCAGACTCAATTGTCATACATGAATATATATTCCAGCATCATTTGTGCTTTGTTCTTGCTTCGTTTCTTAAACATAAGGAATTATAGGTCCTCAGTTAAGTTTCTACTGCAGGTTTAGAAAGGAAGTCTTATACAGGTGAGGTCATAAATTAGGAAAACAAAAAATGAAGCTAAATAGAAGGCAGCTCCTTTTCCCACTGTTCCTTTCCCAGTCCTCTCCTAGTACAGTAAACTGAAAAGACTGTTCTGGAGATGATCACTTTCCCATTCCCTCCTGCTCCAGCAATAAAGTGATGATACTGTATTAGACATCAAGACACCTTACATAATTTGGTAAATAGGATGCCAGAAGAGTAACCTTACAAATCCACTACAAGAATAAGCAGGAGAAGCAAGACAAAAGCGTACAAAAATGCTCTTAAGAGCTAGCAGAAATGGCAATTGAACACCTTGACTACCTTATTACAAGAAAGGAAAAAAATTAATGCAGTGTATTTTAGTTGTTCCTTGTTAAGAAAATTCCTTCTTAAAAAAAATACTTCTAGACCAAAATAAAGCTTTTAACATGGCCATTACTTAAGGCTTTTCAGTATGCCAGGCTGTACTCTTTTAAGTGACAGAAGTGTATATTCCTTCTCTAGCCATGGATTTTATGGTTAACAGACCCTCAGCTAGTGCTGGAACACAAGCCTTTTATCATAGCGCTTTGGAGTTAATACTAATCTGCACTGGCTACAAGTGAAGCAGTATTTTTTTGTATTTTTTTTTAACATAGCTTTTTGTCATGAAAATTCTTAATACATGACTTTTTTATACTTTCAGATTAAAGTAAGCGTGGTTATTTTGAATTAATGCAAGAGACTCAAACTTAAGTAATTGTTTAAAAACTAAACAGCCTATTAGAAAAAATTAACTTGTGAAAACATCCAGGTTTTGAGTACTGTGATGATTTTGATACTGAGTAGATACTATGAACAGCATTTGGTTGACAATACGTATCTTGAACTTTTTAAATTATGTGTTTGGTTTTAAAAAAAAAATCAATCCTAAGAATATATGACTGATAAAGAACTAGAAAAATCTTTTAAGTGTTATGACTATTTTTACTCTTATCATAAACTGTTAAAAGGGTTAAATTTCCATTTACTGCTTGCAACCCTTTCCCTAAAACTCAGCCTTAAATAGCCCAAGAAATATTTATTGTATCCTCAAGTGAAACTTAAATACCTTTCCTCTTTTACAATTTCTGAATGACCCAGCAAGGGCTCTAGTAAAGCTTTACTGAACCAAGCTGCTAATAGTTATTTAATGTTGTTCTGTAGCCTGAAAGAATCTCAGTAGATTTTTCCTTTTAATCTCTTTGAATTGCAGGCTCATAAACCTCTCTGATGAGCCTGCCAGTGTTTTCTTAGATCCTGCAGTTGAGACAATAGAGCTGCAGAATCCTTTCACCTCTTGTTGTCTGACAAATCCAATAGATGGCAAAGCCAGGCAGGCTGTACTTCTTGTGAATTAAAATGTGGTTTTCGAGTTATGGTAGTTGATCAGGTCTTCACAATTTTCCCTGTATGTTCAGGAACATGTTTGAGAAAGTACAACTCAGTACACAGAGTTCTACAGCTTGAGCAGACATCGCACGTAAGTAAGCCTACCGCCTAACTCAGGACTGGTAACAATACCAGTCTTATATAACCTTCTCTGGCAAGGGAGTGAAAATCAGACACCAGTTTATTTCAGAGAACCACTAACGAGGGACCCATGGTTGTAATAATAATGATGTAGATCAAATACGAACACACAAAATATGAGTCAGTAACACACTCTGTGAAAAATGTTAAGTTTGTAGTTCTGCTTGTAAGCTCCCCAAACTCATACTGGGCTGTGCCTCTGTTTTTAAGTAAGTGCCTAAGTCTGTTTCTGCTGTCTTAAGGTATGTTAGATTGGGTAGTGTATTTAATAGAACTAGAAAATAAAAAAGTTTTGTTCAACTCTGGAAAATAAGTTTCTCCTGCTTGAATCAGATAAGCAAATAAATGCAGCATACGAAACTGACAAGAGCAGTTACTGGATTATGTGCTAATTTTGGAGATTTACTCAAGTCGAGTACTAATTGAAAATTTACATCTTTTAGGATAACCAGTAAGACACTTTCAGACTCAACCATCGGTCTAGGAATAACGATCTCAGTTCAGGCTGAGAATTGTACAAGTGATTAATTTTGCCTGTTGATTTTTTTTTTAAAATTTTTGTATTTTATTTTCAAAATTACAGTTGTATTAATGAATTAGAAAAGCTTGGTTGAAATTCTGTTCCCTGGCTTCATATTGTACTATGTTTGGAATAGAAGAGAGGGTAGAGTTTTCCTCAACCTTCCTCTTCATTCTTTCTTCATTACTCCATCTTCATTACCTTAACGGTTGGACTTGATCTTAAAAGTCTTTTCCAACCTAAATGATTCTATGATTCGTGAGTAATTCTACTTCAAGAAGTATGGTAACCTTGTGAATTTGCATCTCACTAGTTTGTTTTCATGGTGGCATATGGTCCATCTGCCCTTCTTGTATTTTCTACCAGCAAGACATGACCCAGACCTCCACCTCCAATCCTATAAAACTTGTTCTGAGTGAAATCCTGCTTCATGAATTCCAAATAGGAAAGCCTGGTTTCCTTTTTAACTCAATTTTTTGCTACCTATAAATGAAGCTTAGGAAAATCTGTTCTTTCTACAACTTAAGAGACCATTTTCCTTTGTGAATTTTTCTTCCCAGTATTAAAAAAAAAACAAAACAGGTTTAATTACGAAGCGCTTGCCTTTTTTTATACTGTTCTCACAGTTATAGTATTGTTTTCTTTTACCACACGGGAGAGAAGAACCTTGAAGGTAGGTGGGTAGACAGACTTCATTTTGATCTCAGCTTTTTGTTTTGGGGTTGTTTTTTGGTGTGGTTTTTTTTTCCTTCCTCAAAAAAGAGGAGGAGGAATCTTTACTTCAGACAAGGCCTGCTGGAAGAAAGGCCTCTGACTGGTTTTGTGGGTGCTTTCAGGACATTCACCATTCCTGTTCTCGTATTTTGTAGCTAGAAGGCTGTACCAGGCTAACTCCAAGTAACATTAGAGTAATTTGGCACGAGTTAAGACCATCTGACCTTTTATTTTATTTTGGACATTTCATGCAGTTAACTAATGTTCTGATCCAGTGTTAAGAAAGATGTTTTAGTTATACAGAATAACAACATTACCCATAGCTCTTGTTTATGTAGTTGAGAGCATGCACAACAGTGAGAACAACTGATTGATAGGTATATCTTCCAGTTTTCTTTCATCATTACACTCCTGATTTTCCCCCCCCCCTTTCTTTTGACAGCAGTAGAGTATTAGGTGTGAGTGGGTTAATTTTCTTTTCATTCTGACCTTTTCATTACAGAATAGGTGGTCAGCAAAGGTAACATCAAAGAGGCTGTATTGATTCTGTCGTTATTTTCAGTGTGTCTGATTTCTTTTAATCTCCTTCATTAAAACTAATTTAGATGAGGCTCATTCTCAAGGATATATAATGCACATTTCAGTTAAAATTGGAACAGTCGTTTAGTTGCAAAATAAATACTGGGACCTAATATTTGGTGGTGTTTTTTTGTTTTTTTTAAACTGGCCTTAAATTTCCTATTTAAAAACCCGAAGTATAAGTATTAACTCTTTCCCCCCCATGCATAAGGATAGTTAAAATGCAAGGGGTTCATTTTTCATTTCCCTACTGGTACATTACATCAATACTTCTACCTATGATACTCTACTCTTAAAACTAATAAAGCCACGAAAGGAAAACAATGAAAGAAAAAAACCCAACAGGTTGGTTAGATTTTTAAGTTAATTTAGATAATTAACTATAGAGAAAGCTGTGATAAGCTATTGCTAGGATTATACTTTCATAGTAGCCTTAAACTTCTTTCCAACAACTTACACTACTTTGTTGTAAGGTAGGAATCTTACTTGGGAATAGCTTGCTTTACATAGTGGATGAGTGAAATCAGCTAGTAGGGTATTGATGTATGTCTGTTCTGAGTCACTACTTCACTGGTGATAACTTTAGAAGAGTAAGGTGGTTGCAATCAGAGGATGATGTTTGGTGATAAAGAAGGAAATACTCCATTATCTCATCAGGTAAAAGTTAGAGATGTGCAGTTTTTCTAGGGTGTTATTGGAGGAGGTAGCTGCGAAGTCCTTTATTTCTACTTTTGAGTCCAGAGCAAAAAGCAGTTACATAGAAGCTGGGAACTGTTTAGAATACCCTACAATCTAGGGATTAGGTAAGGCAATCTCGTGGGGAATTAAAATAACATAAAATAATCTGGGCCTCTGACTTTTTCAGCAAGTGCTCAATAAGTAGTTCTGGAATAAATTCTTTCACTGCCAGCTTACTTTTCATAGAAAGCCATGGACATCGCAATGCTCTAGAAAGCCTGATGTTATTAAACTATAAAACTTGCTTAAAAACTCATTGATCCAAGAGAAGGAACACCTACTTTCTCAATAACAACCCAATTTAAACCTTAAATAAGCACTAAGCTCCTGAGTCTTGCCAAATCTAAGGCATTTCTGTGTATATGCTAAAGTTCAGCTTTCAGGCATTTCTGGTTCTTTACAGCATTTGGGGAGTTGGAGCTTCCAGGTGTCAGGCAGCAGCTGGGAGGTTTTGTGTAGTAAATTGTAAGGGGTTTATGTTGTGTTGTCCGTCCACCCCCGCCCTTTATATTACCTTTTATGGCTTCACTTGTCAGTATGATTTTTGTCAACAAAGTTACAAGTTAAAGAACTTGGTGTGAACTTTGTACATCAAATATGAGTGTGCTGATAAATTGCAAAAAACAATTTGTATTGCACATTTTGCATTTGATAATTTCAATTGTATTGTACGCTTTTTGTTTCATACTGTACTCAATGTTGGAAGAATCTAGGGGATCAAATGGCAACAGATTTCACGGGTGGAGGCCAAAACCGATCTTCTGACTGGGCTGAGCCTCTTTATCATAAAAGAACACTTGGACTAGTCTTCCCCTAAAGGTGCTTCTCATTTATCTTTTGTTAGGAATATCTTTTTGCAGGAATCTTGGTGGTGTTCTCACACACAACCCTAACAGTTCCTTGGTGCTTATTGGGGGGGGTGATTTGCCACCTTCTTTCTAAAGGAGAATGGGCTGCCTAAGACACTGGGGGATCTCCGCCTGTGGAGGCAGTTAAAATCTGGCTGGACACAGTCCTGGGCAACCTGCTCTAGCTGACCCTGCTTGTGCAGGAGGGTTCAATTAGGTGATCTTGAGAGGTCTCTCCTGACCTCAACCGTTCCGTGATTTTGTGAAAAGTACAGGTAAGCAGACATTGACAATTTCAGCTTCTGGAACTGGAGTTACAGACAGACTTTTAAAAGGTATTTATAGGGAAATAAAAGTTTGCCCCTAATTTCACATAATTGTTTGGGATGCATAAAAGTCCTGGTTTCAGTAGTGTCTTAAGTAATACATGTTCACCATTTACTTCTGGCTACAGTAGGACATTTTCCAGCTTATGCAGAGATAAGGAAACTAGAAGTTTAGAGAACTGCATTTTTAACTGATAATGGGATCTAGGTATGACTCTAGTAGGGACCAGACTGACTGCTAGGTATATAGAACTGTTAATTTATCAGGAAGAAATAAGGACCTATATGTTATCAAGGTTGAACATCTGTCATGTTTTCTTTATAGAAGATAATCTGACAAAAGAATGGCCACTACATGCACAAATTTATCTTGAGGATATGTCCTGGAATGAAGGTATGAGTGCCTTACTACTTGTTCCCAGTGCTTTTCATTGTCACTGCAAATGTTTTCCATTTTTTCTGCATCTTATACCATTATAAGATTTATATTTTCCTCAGATTTAGCTATTCTGTTCTCTGTGATTACCTGAATTGTAACTTAACTTTCTGATACTTAATTTTGCATTCCTCCTTCATCTCTTCCACCCTCCCCCCAGCGTGCAGTACCACTTTTCACCTAGCTCTCTTCTTGTAATATAATATTTAGATTTCCAGATTCTTCCCAAATCTCTCATGCATCTTCTTGCTCTTTCTGTGATGGCAGAATGCAAGTGTTTTCATATAGGTGGGGTTTTTTTTCAGCTGACAGTGTGTTATTTCCCTCCTTTAAATTACTCTAGCTTTTATCATTTACTTGCTTTTTGAATGAATGGCTGATTTTTTTTTTTTTTTTAAGCTGTGAGGGGAAAATCCTATCTACTTTCCTTTCTTCTGTTTTACTTTTGTTTCCTGGGTTAGCAGTCTGTTTTGAAAGCATCCTTGATCTGTCATATGTATGACTAAAACCCTTTAGTTTTTTTCTTTTAATATGTCTGTTTCATTTTTTATTATTTGCTTTTTTAAAGAGACTACACTGACTCTGGCTGTTTGGCATAAGAATGCCTCACAGTCACTGAAATGTTGTAAGAGTATAGTTATTTTTTGAGCAACAAATAGTAGCACAGGTACCGATATTTACAATCCAGCAGTAGGAGGTCATTTGTTATTAAGAGCAGCTTTGTGGAGAAAATCCAAAATAAATTCTTGATTCTTCTCAAGCACTAAAGGCTTTCTTGTCTTCTTTTTTTGGCAGATGAACAATGCTATACTCTGTCATGTCGATGTGGTGGGAATTACACCGTCTTCAAGAATGAAACCAAAGATGTTTCTTTGGTTTGTTGTGACACATGTTCACTTGTTATCGAGATCCTTCAATGATTGTTTCAGTCAAGCACATTAAGCATTACAAACTTTTAAAAAGACTGGACAAACAGGGAACAGCATCTGCTAAAGAAAAGTATGTTAAAGAAAAGGGGGGCACCACAAGAACAAGTTCAGTCAGGCTTAAGAAAGGAAATGTGCCCATTTGCTGACATAGCTCTGCAGGCAGACATGAGGCTTGGGTTTTTCTTCCTTCTGCAACTAAAGAACCAGTTATTAAAAACCTCCAGAACAGAACACTAAGTTCTGTACAACTAGAATATATCTTATGATCTAAATGACATTTCTTTCCCAGAAAACAACAGAGTAGCTTCTTTCAATCTCAGCCTATATCAACTATACCTTGGGCCCTACCTCTTAGGTTAAATCCTTTTTAACAGCTCAGATGACAAAATTTAATCAGGAGGCATACATCTGAGAATGCTTTGAAGATAATGAAGAGTAAGGTGCATTAATGGGAAACAGGAACATTTTCTATTTCTATGCTAAATATTTAACTTCATTAAATCCTCACAAGGAGTTGAGCCTTGGAGAGAGGTGGCAGAGACTCACAGATTAACAGGCTGGTTGTCTTGGTACTAAGTAGCAGGTCCAGTGCCTACACACTGGACTGTAACAGTGCATCTACATTAACTTTTCAGCTTAAGAGCAGGAGCATATTTTGAATTGACTCTCATCTGAACAAACAGAGTCTTCATTCCTTAGAAGAAAACTAACCAGGAAACTGTGCTGTGATCCCTACTGGGCAAACAGCCCACTGGGCCAAACTAGAGCCCGTTTAAGGAAAACCCTACAAAACGCACGTAAGTGACTAGCAGATCCGGAACCCCACTGTTACTGTTTTCAGTTCCAATCCTAGCATGCCACACTACTTGCTAATGTAGGCATAGCCAATGTGTGGCTCTGGATGTATGACAACATAATAGTGCATTGTGCCTTTTTCATCCCTTGTTAACAGTCAATACTAACCTTGGCTTGTAGTAAAAACCAAAAGTTTCTAATAAATCCAAGCACTTACTGTGAATAGCCAGAGGAAACAAAGTAGGAGGCATATCATTTTTGTTGATGACAGCAGTGTATCTTTCCCACTTTCAAGTTAGGTGCAATCTCAGAAAGAGACATTTTTGTCAAGTAATAATTGTTTTTTATTCTAAACAAAAATAATTCCATTGATTTTAGTAGAAAATATTATGAAAGCTGGCAATAGTCACTTAAATCTTTTAATCATCAAGAAATCTATGGCCATTGGGGCTTGCACGTAGAAATCCAAAGTCATTCAGAGGCCATATCTGTAAAATAAAATAGTTACAAGAGATTTTAATCACAACTCAAAGTTCAGTGTTTTCATTTGTTATTGTTCTAATTGTTTTATAAACTGCATAATTTTTTAGCTCTTTGGTTGACAGGGTATATGAACTTTTCTCACCTGTGTGTTTCTTTTGCTAGGAGTAATAAATACTATGTATCAGGAGGAATCATCATTCCATAAAGGCTGGAGACAACACTAATTTATACACAGCATGCTTTGCTATGGAGACCCTCAAAAATTACTTTTTTTTTTTTTTTCAGCCTTGGAAATAAATACATTCCTAGAAAATACTTTCAAAGTTTTCTAGCTTGTAAACCTCTTAACAACTTAAAAGACAAAGTATGTATTTTTGATCCATCTAGAAGAAAGAATACCATGAGCATACCTCCCAGTGAAAGCAGTTCTGTGAGGTGTACCTTTGTATTTTCAAGAGGGGCATTTGAACTGCAAACACCAAACCTTGGAAGAATATTCCACAGGCTTACAGGTAAGCTTATACCATGCAAATAGGTATAAAGTGGGGGGAGTGCCTGCCACCATCAGGGGCTCCTCTGAGAAGGGGACTACGATATAGAACAAGAAGCAGCACAAATCATGACCAAGTACAAGCACAAGTGTCAGAGAATGATGCTTACTAGTAAGAAAAAAATTTCTCTCCAGAAATTAACTATATAGCTGTTCATACTACTGAATGCTCCCAGGAGTACTTTCCTCTGAAGATTCACTAATTACATGTAGGCTGGTCTTGGATGCAAAAAAAGTAATAGGGAATCAAGGACATTCTCTTACACTCTGTCCTTTGTCTCCCTTGACTGCCTGTGTCTCTTTGCAACACGTTCTTTCAAAGATGACACGAGGGGATCAGCAGGAAGAAGGGAAAGAGGTGATGTTGAAGAACGAATGCCCTCTGTGGCTCTAATCCCATGAAAATCTCACAGCCCCTGCTCAAGATGAAGCGACCTGGACAGAGAAAGATGATGCACTACCTTGTTCCCAAAGCACCTGTCAGTATGGTGTTTATCTTGCTCATTTTTTCTTAAAATTTGGTCTTAAAGAAGGTATGCAGTCACCTTCCAAGAACAGCAACTTACTCTTTAACTAAGTGTATGGAACAGCCACAGCACAGAAGGAGCCTTTGCTGCTTTCTGTGCGGAGTGAAAAAGTAATTTTCTCAGTTTAAAAGCGAAAGCATAGTGCCAAGGTTCAATGTTTCAATCCCCACGACTTGTCCCCAGCACTAAAGGCAATGACAGAAGAGGCAGAGGCAGTTAAGGACAGGCACAGCAAGACGTACCATCAGCTTACTCCTAGAGTGGGACTGTGCGCTGCTAGAAGCGCCCCAGACTTGCCTCTGTCAGGCCCCTTGCAGCACTGTGCTAAGCTGCCATCAGTTGGATCGTGCCTGGGCCCTCAGGAAGACGGAAGGATGAGTCATTCTCGGGACCTCAAGTTCTGGGGAGCTGAAAAAGGCTCAAAGCTCTCTTGTGCAAGTATCTTCAAAAATACATGTCTTTTTTGGCATGTGCAGTTAGGGAAGAGAATGAGGAACATGTGCTGATACAGAGAAATACACAGAGGTAACGTCTTGTCTCTACGCGCGTATTAGCCAGTGAGCTATTTTAAGTTCCGCACAGATATACAGAGCTACAAACCAACAACAGAAGGGTATTTGTGATCTTGGTTAGCAGCAAAGCTACAGCATTCGAGGCTCTCCAGAGGGCCTGTGCTGGCTGCAGGCTGGGTGTCAAGTCTTTGTTTGGCCTCAAAGGCAAACAGGAGTAGAAGGGAATAGGAATATCCCATATTACAAATCTAAGCTGATCTGAGTGAAGGCCCAGAGAAGGAAGATTCTTAGGCCATTCACTACAGCACAAATCTTGTTTCAGGCAAATCAAATCGCACCTATTGCAACTTGACTTTCTCTCCGTGAAAGTAATCAAATTTGTTTTAACTATTGTTTTGACAATTTAGTTTCAAATTCGTCACAGTGATCTTAGTGGTAAAGTTAGAATGAAAATGATGTTTTATCTAGTCTGCGTGCAGGAGAGAATGTGAGAAAGGAGGAGATGGAACAAGCCTTCTCTGTGAAACAAAGACATGCCACTGTGTGTAGTAATTCCCAAGTCTTTTAAAGTTATGACAGAAGTTGACTGTGACTTGTTCGTTCAAACTGGCTAGTCCAATTAGCAGCTATTTCCCCTTGCCCTCTTTGGTTTGGCCTACATAGATTTGATCTGATGGATGGGGGATAAATGGGGCTAACTAGCTCTTTTGAAGATACACTACAGGTCTATTTTTGACATGGAGCCTAAGTCCAGGGAATGCAGAGGATATCCTACCTAGGACAGGATGAAGCATCAGTTCTGTCAGAGTGGGATTCCCTAGGCTTTTCCTGAGTTTGCAGCTACTTTGATTTCAGCAGCCTTTTTACGGAATGAACTTGTCTCTCAGACTGGTAGTAGATAACGGTGGCAGGGAGGAAAAGGGGCAAATATAATCGAATATCATTATTTCTGTAAGGGTTAAAAACTGGTGCACGAACATTGACTGAGAATCTTGGGTCTAAACTTCACAAATAAGTTACAGAGAGAATTAACATTTATGTTTTGCCAAGAATAGGTTGCCTAAGCAAACTCGGTACAAGCTTGCTCTCTTGTGTTGAAATCCATTACTTCCTAATTAGATTTGTTTTGCATCTATTACTAAAAATGTAACTTAGCATTCAAAGGCACGGTTACATCTGCTGCTCCAAAATCCACTTTAAGATAAAGCTACATAAGCTTCCATTCTCAAGGCAGTAAAATACTATCTTTTTAAACAGACAATATTCTGGAGTCCTAAAGTACTTCTTCAATATGTAATATCTGTGTGTAAAGTTTCATTAATTTTACAGTTTAATGCTTGCTATATTTAGGGTTCAGTCCTGTCAGTCACTTCATTAAAGTCTCTCAAACATCTTCCTATTTGGGGTACAAGCTGGACACAAATTTATTGCCGTGGAGAGATACTGTGAATAATTATGGCTGTCCACATAGGTTCTTAATATATACGTTATTTGCTAACAGCCCCCTTAAAGTAGTAAACACAGTTTTTTTATACTAGTACATCAGTTGGAGAATATTTTTTTTCAGTCAGGTTATTAATACCATATTCTTATTAAGAGGGCTGTCAGCATATTAGCATCATTTGTATTTTAGCAGTTAATAATCCAAGCTAAAACTTGGGTCATAAAAATAGCACTATTTAGAATCAGCATTTTTTCCTCTGGTGTACACAGTAAGGCAAACAATAGAAGGAACAGAGAGAACTTCATAAAAACTAGGGAAGAACTCAAAGCAAATGCTATCCAGAAAAAACAGAGGTCAGACAAAACTTGATGGTGGGGCTGAGGGGGACATGTTATTTGAGGTTTAGTAAGCAGATAGTGATTATGGTCAATAGCAGCAAGGTTTTTTGAAAAGTCTTAAGTTGTGTTCATAAAAACTGTAAAATGATTATATAAAACTTTGTTAAATTGGAAAGATCTAATCTTCCCTGTGCATGTAATACAGCTGTGCTAAATTATGTTTTTGTGGATGTGTTGCAATATATGGAAAACAGTTTTCAAAACATTTTTTAATTGTTCTGAATGGCACCATTTTAAATCTAGCTTTCTAAAAGCTGGTGCATAAGTCTGCAATACATACTCCCTTGTTTCTTAGATTAAACTTTTTATGGAAAAGAAATTGTGTTAGTTTCTTCTTTTTGGTAAATGAGTAAATGAATAATGCAGGTAATATGAAAAAGTAATTTAGTGTGAAATAAAGCTGTAGAATTGTTGAAACAGAAGGAGAAGGAACCATGGACATGGAGGTTTATACAATATTAATTCAAGGCATTTTTTTAAAATAAAAATGTGGCAGACAATTATGGTAGCACAGATTTGACTTTACTGTTAAGGCTTTTTCACAGACTTAGTCTAAAAATCAACAAGGCCAGTCTACATGTCTAAAGTATGTATGCAAGTCTTAGAAAGATAACCTTTTCCTCCATTTTGTTTTTTGAACTATGGAACTACACTTCTCAAATTCCAACAATGAAATATGCAGCTGTCCTTTTCTACCGCTTTGCAGAGGCAAGAGTCAAGGATAGAATATATATCTGTGCAGCAAGGTGTATGTGTGTGCGCCTGTGTATGTTTGTGTTTTTATCAAGTTTGGATTTACTTGCAACATAACTCATTCAGTTTTCAGAGGCAGTGACTGCTCAAAAAGTACTGCTCAAAAAACGAGTCCTCCCTCAAAAAAAACCCCACCATTGCTGAATTATCCTTTTATAGCAAGTGGCTGGTGTGTTCAAGCTCTCCTTTATGTTTGCTTTGGCCAGACAGTTAAGGAGGCAAGTTTTAATACCTAACACCAGGCATTAAAAATGTATTAATGCAACTATTTTTAGATACTGTAAATGTATATACCTTAAAACAAATGCGTCCTCTTATCAGTCCGTAAGGAACAGGTCCATAGCACCTGGAATCTGTAGAATTCCTGAGATTATCACCTTCTAACCAAACATGTCCTTTAGGCACCTATGATTAAGCAAGATTGAAATGTAAAAAGAAAATAGAATAGAATGGTATTAAGCATGGTTTGCCTTACAATATAGTCTCTGATTTCTGTGTTCCGTATTTCATGACTGTATAATGAACTAATTTTTTATTGAATCTAGTAAGACACAGTGCCAGATTTGGAGGGATGAGAAGGAGTGCTCCAAAGTATCTGTTCTATCATGTGCTCAAAAACCAATGGTTTGCAACAAAAAATCCAAAATGAAGATGTAAGAGGTTAGACCAATGTGACAGGGTCATTAATTTAATAGACTTCAAAAGAGGTCATTAGGATGTTGACTGAAAATCTGCCCTCCTGTCGCAGTAACAGCATGAACAGGGCAGCCACACACTCATCAACATCCTGGGGCCAGCACCAAGGCTAGACCTGTTAGTAGATTCATGATGAACTAACTGGTAATTGATTGTGACATCAATTACGAATAATCTCATCATTTTATCGGAGTAGGCTTGTCAAAGTTCTAATTAAGATCACAGTTCATTCTATGTGCAGGCAGAATCCACAACACATTATATTGCAGTAATGATGATCACAAAACAGCAAATCCCTTTTTATAATTTGAAAATTAATGATGGTGACCTTATACTATATGACAAAGACCTTTCATTGCCTATATATATTATGCATTAACTATATTACATACCATAGATTCATGGCATTCACTGACTGACTCAATGACAAAATGAGAAATAGCAACATAGCTGTATTAGTTACCAAAATAAGAGTATACGGCTTTCATATATGAAAAAGTTGCTACTGTAAGTCTTAAACTAAGACTTCCGCTTGGAATATACAGCACTATTTTGATATGGTTTTTTAAAAACATTTCAGATAGAAATAACCTCTTACAAGTCACCAAATAAAATATTTAATAATTATGCTTCTAAAAGTCTAAACCAGGCCGAAAATTTAAAAGTAGTGACATATTCTCAAGCTAGGTAATATTTAATGTGGACTTTAAGTTAACATACATTTTTCCAAAACCAGCTATGTACTTGAAACATTACTATGCCCACAATTCAGAAAAAAACCCCAATATTTAAAAAACCCAATTTCAAATGAAACTCAAGAGTTTGAGCAGTATAAACACTAGTGTTTCAGAAATAAGCCACATGGACTCATAAATACAATAGTCTATATATACAGAATTCAAGGATAACAGACTAAACAAAATAAAATACCACTCTAGTAGTAAAGTCTGGATATAAACTATTAAAAATAAAACCAGGTCCCCCAGATAAACATTTGAGGAAAATGCAGTTGAAGGGTAATTGTTGGTACGTAAGCTATCTGGCCAGGTAACACTTACTGGGAACGCTGTCTTTAAATAAGCCTTTCAGGCTCTTGTTTAGTCAGGCTCTCACCTGCCTGTTACCAGACTAGGATAGCGCGCGACTCGAGAGTCCCTTTGTTGAGCTGTGGCGAATGTGTAAGCTGTGGATTAAGAACCAGTAGTTTGTCTCCGACAGTAGAAAAAGAGCTACTCGTGGTGGAAAGCATATCTGAGCCTGTCCGTCTTCTGCCAACCGCCCCCCTGTATTCCTCCGGTACCCAGGTGTGCGCTTCAGGCATGTCAGAGGGCGCACATCCCTGCCTCAGCGTTTCAGAATCTATACGTGGAGCTGCTAGACCAGCAATATGTCTAAACCCTTTTGAAACCTACTGATACTGTCTCCTTCCACAGTCTCCTGTATAAAGGAGTGCCACCTTGTTTGTTTTAAACTGATCTGCTAGTTCCATCAAGGTCCTTTACTTCTTGTTCTCCCAGTCCCTCAACACAGCAATTTCATATTCAGCTTGTCTGCCACCTTTTGTTATTTTGTAGGCTTATCAGATTGCTGGCATGTGCACGGAAGAGCTGTCTCTGGGAAGGCCAGTTGATTTCAGCTAGACGACTTTGGCCCTCCTCCTACCCAAGCAGCTTGGCAAACAAAAATAACCAAGTAGAAGTCAACTTAAAATAAATACATTTTAAAAAATTCTATCCAGAGTCAAATGACCTGTGTGGAATATACATCTCATCACATGTGGAAATGCGTTTTTTATAGGTCTTTATTGAAGAATATACTGACATTCCTATTTTCCTCAAAAATTCTGTGGTATACAGCCTATTTAGAATATCCAGCAGCAATTGTTAGGTTAGTTGGATATTCATCTTTGCTTGTTTGCAGTGTAGCCACCTAAAGCATTCACTGTGTCCACATCTTGCATGAGTTTGTTTTTCAGGTGCACATCACAATGCAAAGCAGCGTTCTGACCTTTCCGGTGCGAACTCTCCTGTCCAGCATCTACCAGAATTACAAATCATACGTCAAACTACTGTCATTTTCAAAGACTATTTCAGCAAATACACAGAAAAAAGAGGCATGAATTACTATGAAAGGAAGATGTTTTAATGAAATAAAAAAGGAAACCCACATTAACATTTCACATTTCTGAAAAAGCATCACTTCTTGTAATGCGTTACCGTTTCACACACAGGACACTACCAGCTCCCCTTCTACTTTACTGGTTCCCATGCCTTCTCGCTTTCCCCGCCTGATTCATAGGCAGAACGTGAAGCTCACCTGTTACTATGTGAAATAAGGACCCACATGTAACACAAGTATATCCAAACACTTCTAGACCTTCCCATCTTTTTTCCATGCTCCAAAAGTATAAAAAATAGAATAAAGTGCTTTTTCCAGCTGTGGCATATCACTTACTACTTCTAATACTACTAATTGCTTGCCTGGACAAGATACTCATCATTTGCATTCCAGATAGAACATTTGCATTAAAGTATATTCCTATATCCTGAAGTTCACCACCTACGGTAACTTTTGTAGTTCTCCATGGAAGGTATGACAGGACCCTATACCTCTAAATTTGGCCTTAAGAGTCCCATCACAATGTATGATTCATCTAGAGATAACAGAGTATAATACCTTTGTATGGTGCCTGTCCATCATCTAGGCACTTCACTACAACCTAGAATTAAGACAAGCAATAAAAATCACATGAATTACATGAAAATGTAAAACCAAATACCAGTGACAGGCCATAATCATTAATTAAAAAAAGTTGTTTACACCCCTTTGAAATAAAGGCTGTAGCCAGAATCCTTCAAGGGTTTATGCACCAAGCTATTTCTGGACCACATCACTGATTTCAGTGGGATTACTCACATTGAATAAAGTTAACTCTGAGTATCAACCTTTGCAGAATCGGGACCCAATTTGAAATGCCTCAAAGCTATGCAAGCACAGTAGCTGGAAATAAGATACATTTTTAACCAAAGGAAAAAAACCAAAAACCCAAACTATTGAAAACTTGTATTTGTAGTGAGAATATATTAATTACACACCAATAGGCTGCTAGTGCCAAAAAAATCCAAGGCAATGGGAAAGCCACTTGCTTGACAATCACAACGTTGCATTTTGGTATCTACAGGCCATGGACGATGGACGTCTTAGACAAAATTAATTGTATCTAAGAAGTACAACTGAAATCACAGTTACCATTACTACACACAGAAGGAGTGTGAATGCAAAGAATACTGACAAGAGTGCCAAAAGCATTTAATTTAGGCTGGGCAGCATTTCAGTTCTCCTTTACACATAGGCCAGAACTAAGATGTGAGCCTCACAAGCCCCACAACTGAATTTTCACGTAATTAACTAGTGGGTCACATGCAAAACCAGCAATTCCACAGCAGCGCAGGTTAACGTGAAAACACGCTGCCTCCGATTGTCTGCAGACTACTCTCTTTGCCTCGGCAACCCTTGTGCCTCTGGTTTTGTGCAGATTATCTGAGGATTTATTTCCAAGGAGCAGCAGCTCTCGGGCAGAAGCGGTTATCTGAGATGCAGCCTATATGCATGAGAATACAGCACGCTGATCAGACACATCACTCTTCCCCCTTCCAAGGCTCTGAGGGCTCCAGCGCAGGAACAGATAGACCAGAAGAGCAAGATTATCATTTAGAGCAACTGAGTCTGTAGCAGCAGCTTATTCTGTTCCAGCTCAGATAAATTACCTTCTTTCACTGAGACAAACTGACTAAATTTGCAGGGCTGGCGGCATTTACTTAGTGGTATAGTTAAAGTGGCAAAACTGAAGCACAGGTCAGGTATTTGATGCATACTTACGTGCTGGTTTTGGCTGGGATAGAGTTAATTTTCTTCACAGTAGCTAGTATGGGGCTATGTTTTGGATTTGTGCTTGCAAAAAAAAACTTACTAGCCTAAAACATTAATTTACCTAAACCAGCAGGGGAAAATCAACAAATAATTATATTCTTTTGGTCTTTTCACATGACGCCAAACTTTGTTCTTTGAGTAATCTCACTAACTTCAAAACCAAGAGATGAGATCTGCACTGCATTAACTGGTATACTAGAAAACTAATATACATAATTTCATCTGTTAATCTTATTTGCAGTATCTGCCTCAAAAATACCCCCAAACCCAAATAAATGAAAGTAGGCTCTTGTGGGCTGGGGTTTTTTTTGTTTTGGTGGGGGGTTTTTTTTGGTTTGTCACTTTTGGGGGGACTTTGGATGGGGAGGTACTAAAGATGGGGAAATAGGGATTTTTAATAAATAAGTGGCTAATTATAAACATGAATCTCTTGCAATCTCTCCTTTTGGAATTCCAAGCAGTCTGAGTTTGTCAAAGAACATCAGCATGTACAATCAGCTGGGAGCAGATGAAGTTTGAACTTTTGTAAGGTCACAGGTATTCACATCACCTCCAGCAATATCAAAGTTTCAAACTTAAGAAGAACTTTAAATCATTCCTATCTTTTCTTTTCAGTTCAGAGGCTTCCTTCTTGAGCTATGATAAGAACTAATCTCAGTGCTGGACAAAAGAATAAAGTCTGCAAGTTCTCATCTATCCCTACTAAGGTCTATTTAAGTGCCTCCTACTTTGGTACAAGCAACAAATGTAATTGCTTCATGGCCTGCGGGTGTTCATTT